TAACCCTGACAAAATCATCGACAATATTCTGAGCACAATTCCCTTATTTTTTTGGGGATTTGACATTTTTTCTGCTCTTTTTATTTTATTTATTTAACCTTTATTTAACCAGGTAGGCCAGTTGAGAACAAGTTCTCATTTACAACTGCGACCTGGCCCAGATAAAGCAAAGCAGTGCGATACAAACAACAACAACACAGAGTTACATATGGGGTAAACAAAACCGTACAGTCAATAACACAATAGAAAAATAGAAAATCTACAGTGGGGAGAACAAGTATTTGATACACTGCCAATTTTGCAGGTTTTCCTACTTACAAAGCATGTATAGGTCTGTAATTTTTATCATAGGTACACTTCAACTGTGAGAGACGGAATCTAAAACAAAAATCCAGAAAATCACATTGTATGATTTTTAAGTAATTAATTTGCATTTTATTGCATGACATAAGTATTTGATCACCTACCAACCAGTAAGAATTCCGGCTCTCACAGACCTGTTAGTTTTTCTTTAAGAAGCCCTCCTGTTCTCCACTCATTACCTGTATTAACTGTACCTGTTTGAACTCGTTACCTGTATAAAAGACACCTGTCCACACACTCAATCAAACAGACTCCAACCTCTCCACAATGGCCAAGACCAGAGAGCTGTGTAAGGACATCAGGGATAAAATTGTAGACCTGTACAAGGCTGGGATGGGCTACAGGACAATAGGCAAGCAGCTTGGTGAGAAGGCAACAACTGTTGGCGCAATTATTAGAAAATGGAAGAAGTTCAAGATGACGGTCAATCACCCTCGGTCTGGGGCTCCATGCAAGATCTCACCTCGTGGGGCATCAATGATCATGAGGAAGGTGAGGGATCAGCCCAGAACTACACGGCAGGACCTGGTCAATGACCTGAAGAGAGCTGGGACCACAGTCTCAAAGAAAACCATTAGTAATACACTACGCCGTCATGGATTAAAATCCTGCAGCGCACGCAAGGTCCCCCTGCTCAAGCCAGCGCATGTCCAGGCCCGTCTGAAGTTTGCCAATGACCATCTGGATGATCCAGAGGAGGAATGGGAGAAGGTCATGTGGTCTGATGAGACAAAAATAGAGCTTTTTGGTCTAAACCACTCGCCGTGTTTGGAGGAAGAAGAAGGATGAGTACAACCCCAAGAACACCATCCAAACCGTGAAGCATGGAGGTGGAAACATCATTCTTTGGGGATGCTTTTCTGCAAAGGGGACAGGACGACTGCACCGTATTGAGGGGAGGATGGATGGGGCCATGTATCGCGAGATCTTGGCCAACAACCTCCTTCCCTCAGTAAGAGCATTGAAGATGGGTCGTGGCTGGGTCTTCCAGCATGACAACGACCCGAAACACACAGCCAGGGCAACTAAGGAGTGGCTCCGTAAGAAGCATCTCAAGGTCCTGGAGTGGCCTAGCCAGTCTCCAGACCTGAACCCAATAGAAAATCTTTGGAGGGAGCTGAAAGTCCGTATTGCCCAGCGACAGCCCCGAAACCTGAAGGATCTGGAGAAGGTCTGTATGGAGGAGTCGGCCAAAATCCCTGCTGCAGTGTGTGCAAACCTGGTCAAGACGTACAGGAAACGTATGATCTCTGTAATTGCAAACAAAGGTTTCTGTACCAAATATTAAGTTCTGCTTTTCTGATGTATCAAATACTTATGTCATGCAATAAAATGCAAATTAATTACTTAAAAATCATACAATGTGATTTTCTGGATTTTTGTTTTAGATTCCGTCTCTCACAGTTGAAGTGTACCTATGATAAAAATTACAGACCTCTACATGCTTTGTAAGTAGGAAAACCTGCAAAATCGGCAGTGTATCAAATACTTGTTCTCCCCACTGTATATACAGTGTGTGCAAATGTAGTAAGTTATGGAGGTAAGGCAATAAATAGGCCAAAGTGCAAAATAATTACAATTTAGTATTAACAGGAGTGATATATGTGCAGAAGATGATGTGCAAATAGAGATACTGGGGTGCAAATTAGCAAAATAAATAACAATATGGGGATGAGGTAGTTGGGTGGGCTAATTACAGATGGGCTGTGTACAGGTGCAGTGATCGGTAAGCTGCTCTGACAACTGATGCTTAAAGTTAGTGAGGGAGATAAGTCTCCATTACTGACATGCAATAGCCCTAATGTATATCATCACTGAGGTTTTTGGGGATGATGAACACTTGAGTGATGACTATTATGATGATGATTCAGTGTTAGGACAACTTGGGGCTTTTGCAAACATGACTGTGTATACATGAGGAGTTTTACATGCTGTGTTGATTAATACTGTAGGTATTGTCTCATCTGCTTAACACTTCAAAAGACTTACGTTATGTAGTCTAGGATATTATTTTTGTGGAAACAGGCCCTTTTACCATTGAGCTGTATGGAATAGTACAATGTATGCCATACACACACTAAATAAATAATTTAGCTTCAAGATCAAATCAAATTTTATTTACAACATGCGCCAAGTACAACAGGTGTAGAGCTTACAGTGAAATGCTTACTTACAAGCCGTTAACCAACAATGCGGTTAAGAAAAATACGTGTTAAGTAAAAAATAACAATAAAAAAGAATTAAAGAGCAAAGAGATTTGTTCTAATACTCATTTTCAGTTATCTATAGTATAGAGTGGGCCAAGATGTGACCTGTCACCCATAGTTACTTGTTAATAAAGTGGATTTTTTTTATCTTTCACTTTTCTCCTTCACTTGACTTCAATACATAATCCAGATTTGGAAACATCAATTCTCAGTGGATTGTATGACTTTATTGTAAATTAACTTGTAGTTGCCTTTTTTGGATGAAATAAGTAGCAGAGTGTACTACCATTAACTTTACACAACCCCAGTTTATTCTTCTCATGGTGTAAGGTCAGGTTGGTTGGTGAATCTGATCCACTACACTAGTGCCTCATAGTCCAATTTGTGCAACAGGTTTATTTGGAAGTTCTGGAAGCTTGGGTAGAACCTGCCAGGTGTCAAACCAAACGCCTTCTGATCAAGAAGCACACTTACTATATGGTTGATGTCCTCAGATCTACTTGAGATTGAGTGCTTTCCAGACTCTTACTTCAGCTCAGTCTTTATCAAATCGCTGCATGAGGTCTGTCTTCTCTCGTTATGGTCCTGCTGACTTTCTGTGCAATGTCAAACTGGACATGGGCCCCTTGATGTTGGATGAAGTATTTTGTGAGGCGCACATGTTTTCCGCAGTTCTTGCATCAAATACTTTGGTATTGCTCTAGGCTGATTACCTTGAAGACATGTACCAATTCTTTCCAAAGGACCACTGGATATTGTGACTTTGTACCAGAAGTAGCTGTAACAGTGACCTTAAATAAAAGGAAAATAGGGTTTTAATATCTGAGACTGTCATCATACATTATGCAACACAGTTGCATGTGCCACATAAAATGGGTTTTTATCAGATACTTCATTGTCAAGGGGGAAAAAATTGTATAAATGATCTAGGCTACAATTGTCACTATGATCAACTGAAGATATTATTAAATTTAGCCGACAAATGTGAGCATGTAGGACTGGTGCAACACAAACCCTAACTGATAAGTCTATGAAGAGTGTAATGATTTAATACTGGGATAATAAAACAAAAAATCTAACAAGTTCACCTGTAGCTGCATGGCCTATTGCATTGACAAAAAGTTAGCTGTAGATAGCTATGTTGTTCGAAGGTAGAGCACTTACTATGCAGTGATCACTTTCGTTGTTGTCACTTACAGCCGATGATGCACCAAAAACCGGTGCTTGTAGCGGTTTAATTCCTATATCCTGCGGCTGGTCATCTGTCTCTGGGGGCTGGGACCCTGAAAAAGCCTTGTCTCTCCGGACTCTCTGTGCTTTTCTGGACAGACAGTCTTTTGGTAATTCTTGGGGTCGAGACAGCCATGACATATATTTTTGTTCTATGTTCCATCACTTCGCACTGGCAACTTTTTTCATTTTGAAAAAATATGCTGTTATATTACATGTTTTTTACTTTAACATAGGTGTGTCTTGACTGTGATAAGGGCTCCGGAATTAAGAGCGTCTTGTCTGCTAAATTAACAAAACAAGGCTATGCCATTGCACAGCCATAGGCTTCTACAAGCAAGCGCCACTGCTGAGATTACTGCCTTTTTAAAGATTGTGTTCCATTATGTAATATAAGCAGTTGATATTACGGTTTCAATAAATGAATCTTAAATGGCTCTTCCTAATATTGAGTTGCACCCCCCTCAATTCGTCGGGGCATGGACTCTACATGGTGTCGAAGGAGTTCCACAGGAATGCTAGCCCCTGTTGACTCCAATGCTTCCCACAGTTGTCAAGTTCGCTGGATGTCCTTTGGGTAGTGGACCATTGATACACCCGGGAAACTGTTGAGCGTGAAAAACCCAGCAGTTTTGCAGTTCTTGACACTCAAACTGGTGCGCCTGGCACCTACTACCATACCCCGTTCAAAGGCACTTAAATATTTTGTCTTGCCCATTCACCCTCTGAATGGCACACATACACAATCCGTGTCTCAATTGTCTAAACGCTTAAAAATCCTTCTTTACCTGTCTCCTCCCCTTCATCTACACAGATTTGAAGTGGATTTAACAAGTGACCATAGCTTTCACCTGGTCAGTCTGTCATGGAAAGAGCAGGTTTTCCTAATGTTTTGTACACTCAGTGTATATGGGGCAATTTGGCAATTAGGATTTGTTATATGTAATGGTTATGATAAATTAGGCATTGTTGCGCACTGTTGCTATATAGATAGATTTGCATATTTTTTTTCCAGTGTGGGCCTTGTTTAAATATCTATATATATATATATATATTTTAAATATTAGAGTACTGGAACAATAAAAACATTTCAAATGCCCATCCCTAATTAAAATCTTCACTCACCTATAGCCACCTCTCTGTGGTCTTTGTGTGTAGTGTTTCTGTAGTGACATGGCTGTCTGTGTGTTTCCCGTGTAGATGATGCAGAATCTCCTGCTGGAGGAAGGGGGCCTGGTCCAGGTGGAGAGTGTTAACCTCATGGTGGCCACATACTCCAAGTTCCAGCCACAGAGCCCAGACTTCCTGGATATCACTAACCCCAAAGCAGTGTATGTACAGTTGTAGACCTTTAATTACTCACCTCTGCACATTTAAGTGCCATTAAAAATAGATTGAAATGATTCTCACATTCTGCTTCACTGTCTCATAGGTTGGAAAATGCCTTGAGAAACTTTGCCTGCTTAACCACAGGAGATGTTATAGCAATTAACTACAATGAAAAGGTAACTGTTTTAAAGTTATTGGTACACTACATGGCCAAAGGTATGTGGACACCTGCTCGTCGAACATATCATTCCAAAGTCATGGACATTAATATGGAGTTGGTCCCCCCTTTGCTGCTATAACAGCCTCCACTCTTCTAGGAAGGCTTTCCACTAGATGTTGGAACATTGCTGCGGGGACTTGCTTCCATTCAGCCACAAGAGCATTAGTGAGGTTGGGCACTGAAGTTGGGCGATTGGGCCTGGCTCACAGTCGGCGTTCCAATTCATCCCAAAGGTGTTTGATGGGGTTGAGGTCAGGGCTCTGTGCAGGCCAGTCAAGTTCTTCCACACCGATCTCGACAAACCATTTCTGTATGGACCTCGCTTTGTGCACGGGGGCATTGTCATGCTGAAGCAGGAAAGGGCCTTCCCCAAACTGTTGCCACAAAGTTGGAACAACAGAATCGTCTAGAATGTCATTGTATGCTGTAGCGTTAAGATGTCCCTTCACTGGAACTAAGGGGCCTAGCCCGATCCATGAAAAACAGCACCAGACCATTATTCCTCCTCCACCAAACTTTACAGTTGGCACTATGCATTCGGGCAGGTAGTGTTCTCCTGGCATCCGCCAAACCCAGATTCGTCTGTCAGACTGCCAGATGGTGAAGCGTGATTCATCACTCCAGAGAACGTGTTTCCACTGCTGCAGAGTCCAATGGCGGCGAGCTTTACACCACTTCAGCCGACGTTCGGCATTGCGAATGGTGATCTTAGGCTTGTGTGTGGCTGCTCGGCCGACGTTATACACTTGTCAGCAACGGGTGTGACTGAAATAGCCAAATCCACTCATTTGAAGGGGTGTCCACATACTTGTAATGATGACTGGATTATTATGTATTTACATACAGTTCATGCACAAGGCAAAACTGTAATGGAATTTGACTTGCCACCAGAATGTTGCTTCTAAATGTAAGGTGTGGCATCACAGGAGGCTGCTGAGGGGAGGACGGCTCATAATAATGGCTGGAATCGAGTGAATGGAATGGTATCAAACACATGGAAACCATGTGTTTGATGTGTTCATTACCATTCCATTTATTCTGTTCCAACCATTAATATGAGCCCGTCCTCCCCAATTGAGGTGCCACCGGCCACCTATGTGTGGCATACAGTTGTGCCTGACCTGTTATCTTTCTAACCTCTGTTTTTCCTCTTTACTGATTTCAGATCTATGAACTGCGAGTGATGGAGACTAAGCCAGACAAGGCAGTATCTATCATTGAATGTGATATGAATGTAAGGTCTTCTGTACTATCTATCGTACCATAAGTGGAGACACAACACTGTAACTTAGATTATGGTACCTAATAGGTCTACTTCACTCAGCCATACCTGTTGTTGTCTCTCAGGTGGACTTTGATGCTCCGCTGGGTTACAAAGAACCAGAGAGGTGTTACAAAGCACCAGAGGAGCCCACCGTAAGAACCACACATGTTGAATATTTCTAATCTGGTCTCAGTGTTTATACTGTATGTTTTTGATTAACTCTAATCACTCTTTCCGCACAACAGGAGGAGGAAGGAGACCCCAGTACTTGGACTGACATGGACATGAGATTCAGAGTGAGTTTATGCTTATGGATTTTATTCTTACTGCAGTTCATACCCATATGGTTCACTTTCATTTATGTGTAGCTCATGCACAGTCCTCAGTCTATGAATACTTCTCTCTATAGGCTTTCACTGGTTCAGGCAATCGTCTGGATGGCAAAAAGAAAGGCATCGAGCCCAGCCCTGTCCCCATCGATCCCAGTGACATTAAAAGGTTGGGAGCTATGATCAGCCCAAATACAACCCCTAGCCCTTTCCCAATATCCTGTCACTTTTGTATTTGCAGATCTACATGTGACATGCTATGATGAAATCAGCGCTGACCTTAACCTTTAACCCATCTCTGTCCCCATACAGAGGGATTCCTAACTATGAGTACAAGGTCGGCAGGATCACCTTCATCAGAAACTCCAGGCCTCAGCCCAGGAAAACAACAGAGGATGTAAGTATGATGGTCAAAGAAGGAAAATGTAATAAACAGCTTCATCCCTTTCTTGCAAATACTGACATTCCAGAAAGGCATAAAAGCCATATTTAGATGGTTCAAATTGTATGTGCCAGATTTGAATGCAGTACGCTGAATCTAGTCTTGTTGCATATTTTCAGGAGGATTCAGAATTCATCGCCTTCTCTGGCGAGGGAAAGTCACTACGCAAGAAAGGTGGCAGAAAGCCTTGAGGCACTACAGTATTCAACTGCAGAGACTGACTGACTGCAGACTCTACATACATACTCACACACACCATAAACAACCAATAAAGGCAGGTCATGAAAAGAGCCTGGGTTCATTTTCTTCTTTCCCTTGGCAGGAATCATCAAGGTTTTACTTTCCTTTGATCATATTGTAATGGTCTTGTCCATGGTAAGCATGTTAAAAGCACTTCAGAAAAACTGAATGCTATTGGACTGTGGTTAGAGTACAGGGTTGCTGGGATGAGCCCAGCCAAAGCCAGCAACCCTTTCCTTTCGCTACAATATGATACATATCATAAACATATCATTAACGGAATTACCCTTGTTAATGTTGATGATGGAGTGGGTTTGATATTTCTTTGAATATGTATCAAACTAATTTGGAAACGCTCCTCTGACATTGGAACCTGTTGGACTCGAACTTTAAGAGTGATGAGTGGCAGATAAGTGCCATTTCCATTGTTTATTTATCAACTCTGAAATAAAGTGCACTCTATCTGTTTATTTTTGTCTTTAAATAATTTGTGTGTGGAATGATTCTTCCATTATATTGGCTTATAGAGCCCACAGTTAAAGTGTATCAAGTAGGTATTGAAATAGCTACATATTGTAATTCATAAGTGTACGGACTCAAGAATAAAACACAAAGAGATAGAAGAACAACTTGAATATAAACGTGAATAATTTTCCTTGCAAAATTCTTTACATCCCATCTAAGCTTCTTGTTTTCCTGAGTTCATTCAATGTAGGAAGTGGGATCTAATTGGACTTCTGCGTATTCACAGTGCTTGATGGGCTGTTTACGTCCCCTTCTCAAAAGGAAAAACAACGGACGCGATGGCATATTCTGGAGCAATGTGGAGGGTAATGTACCAAATTCATGTATTGTTTATGAAAAAGTAAGGTCACCGTACTTCACTAAAGGCCCTAGTCACCAGTGTAACTAATTTGTAGCTAACTAGCGTTACACAACAATGTGCTCTGCTGTCAACTTAAATACTAACGTTAGCTAGCTAGCAAGTAGCCCTTGATCATGACTCTCAGTTCCAAATTACATTACACAACGCTTCGAACACACCGACTGTGCTTTGCGTTTTGGTACACCAGAAGTCCATTCATTTCCAATGGAACGCTGTGTTTGACTTGCAGCATTGCGTTGCAGAGGCAGTACGTTCTGTGTGGTGCATACATTGGATTTATCGAACGTATGCGTCAAACTGTATGTGTAAACGGGTTGACAGAAATGGTAGCAGAAGGTGAATGTTGAGCTTTTGTTGCACACATATCTAGATGATGCTGCTGCATACTATTTTGCTCAATGTCGCAGTTCAAAGCGTAACATTAACCTTCTGCTACAATTTCTGTCAACCCGTTAATGCATACAGTTTGATGCATATGTTCGATAAATCCAATGTATGCACCACACAGAACGCAAGGCGAACGCAGCGTTCCATTGGAAATGAATGGACCTCTGGTGTACCAAAACGCAATAATGCAGTCGGTGTGTTGGAAGCGTAACGCTTTGAACACACCAACTGCAACATTGGGCAAAATAGTACGCAGAATCATCTAGATATGTGTGCAACAAAAGTTAAACATTCACCTTCTGCTACCATTTCTGTCAACCCGTTTTACGCATACAGTTTGACGCATACGTTCGATAAATCCAATGTATGCACCACACAGAACGCACTGCAACTACCTCTGCAAGGCAAACGCAGCCCCCCCTTGGAAATGAATGGACTTCTGGTGTACCAAAACGCAATGACGCAGTCGGTGTGTTCGAAGCGTAAGAGTCATTGGACCAACGAGTCTTCTGTAAGGGGGTGTTTTGTTAAGATCCCCGACGCTCGGTCTGAACATTAACATGCATCGTGTCGTGTATTGGGATTATGCCTTTGTTAAATGTTTTTCTTGAAGAAATGGAATGTTGTTTATGTTAGGTCAAATGTAGCCGTTTGGAGGGTGACGCCCCAGGGGAGACTGGTGATTGGCCAGAAGAGGGAGCACCCATCTTTTTGCATTGTTTATAAGTAGGGGCTAGACCAAGAGAGGGCAGAGCGACCATTGCAATCCGGGCCGTCGCTCTCCGGATGTCATGACATCTGTCACTTATGCTGAAGCTTGTGATATGAATAAACCTTATGATCCAAGTTCAGTATGAGCGGACTCCTTTGTTTATCAGCAATAATTGCCAGCACTTACGCGATACGACAATCGCTTGCGGTAGGGTTTTGGGAAGCATAAGGACTTACTTTTCTAAAAACAAAAGGTTAAATTGATACACACCTCGATAGGGTTAGTGTTCCCACACGGCCATATCTCATGTTGCAGTGCTTGTTGGAAGGCAAGAGGCGAACACCTATGTTAATTATTTATCTAGCATGCTCCAAACACCTGTGTGTAAGTGTAACTCGGGAAGTGTAGCGGAAGTGTAGTTTCATTGGATGGAGACACCCATAGCTGTATGGATCTGTGCAAAACTGCTACAGTAAGTGTATCTTTTTTATTTTAAGGATACTTTCTCACTGATGAAATATAAGGGCCATAAGTTTCGATAGCTGTATTGCAAGTAGTGATTATTGACGTTTCTAAACGTTAAAACCCAGCATCAGGATTGTAGTTTACATGATGTAGTTGAGGGCGACGCTAATGGCTGAAAAATGTAGGGAGAAGGCAGAATGCCGCCGCGAGTTTGAGAACTAGCTAGTATCTAGCATATTGGAACTTTGTTAGGTGTTGTTTAGTGGATGATCAAGACCTCACCATTGTGTGATTTTCTACTTGAATGCTTCAGATAATGCTGAAACTGAAAGCCAGCTAGTATTTCCATTATCAAATGGCAAAACACAGCTCTAACACACACAATAAGATACTGCTCTCAAATTGAGGAAGTGTTGAGGAATGCTTGAAGAAAGACTTCTGCCCACATTAATAGATTCCTACTGTACATTTTTAACCTCAATGACATCATACGCTTGTATGTCTATTTACTAGGCTTGGGTGGTATCCAGATTGTCATACCTTCATACCGACCATGTGCCATACCGGGATGTTCGGTAATACTGGCACTGAACACAAGGGGCGCTATTTTCAAACCCCACTGATCATCTGTAATCCGAAGGTTAGCAATGCTAACAAGTACATGTAAAATCCCATAGATCAAATCAAAAATCTAATCAAATTGTATTTGTCACATGCGTCGAATATAACATTTGTAGACCTTACAGTAAAATGCTTACTTACAAGCCCTTAACCAACAATGCAGTTTTAAGAAAAATAAGTGTTAAGTAAAAAATAGATAAATAAAAAACATAATTAAAGAGCAGCAGTAAAATAACAGTAGCGAGGCTATATACAGGGGGTACCGGTACAGAGTCAATGTGCGGGGGCACAGGTTAGTCGAGGTAATTCAGGTAATATGTACATGTAGGTAGAGGTAAAGTGACTATGCATAGATAATACACAGAGAGTGGCAGCAGCGTAAAAGAGGGGGTGGGTGGGGGGGACAATGCAAATAGTCCGGGTAGCCATTTGATTAGCTGTTCAGGATATCTGGATAAGAGCGTCTGCTAAATGACGTAAATGTAATGTCTTATGGCTTGGGGGTAGAAGCTGTTAAGAAGCCTTTTGGACCTAGACTTGGCGCTCCGGTACCGCTTGTCGTGCAGTAGCAGAGAGCACAGTCTGTGACTAGGGTGGCTGGAGTCTTTGACACCGCCTGGTATAGAGGTCCTGGATGGCAGGAAGCTTGGCCCCAGTGATGTACAGTTGTCTACAACGCAATGAAGTCGGAAGTTGGAGATTTCCGAGTTCCCAGTTGTTTTGAATGAGGCGTTATACTTCAGCTCCACTATAAGCGTCACGTTGCTTTGCCATCAGCATTGTGTCAATGTGACATTCTACCTGCTACATAGAGCGCATTGTTTTGAGAGCAGAGGGGAAGAGCGTCCTTTATTTTATTTTCCCTTACTGTACCATATTCATTGATTATGCGTAAGTACAATAGCTTTGGTCCAGTTTTTCGCAAGTACTCATTTAAATTATTGCGACGTTCAAGTTTGCGCTCAGCAGACCTGAAATTTGCTCAGTGATGAAAAAAATGAGAGGGAACATTGGTGTCCACATACTTTTGTAAATACAGTACCAGTCAAAAGTTTGGACACACCTACTCATTCAAGGGTTTTTCTTTATTAACACATATGGAATCATGTAGTAACCCAAAAAGTGTTAAACAAATCAAAATATATTTTATATCTGAGATTCTTCAAAGTAGCCACCCTTTGCCTTGATGACAGCTTTGCACTCTCTTGGCATTCTCTCAACCAGCTTCACCTGGAATGCTTTTCCAACAGTCTTGAAGGAGTTCCCACATATGCCGAGCACTTGTTGGCTGCTTTTCCTTCACTCTGCGGTCCAACTCATCCCAAACCATCTCAATTGGGTTGAGGTCGGGTGATTGTGGAGGCCAGGTCATCTGATGCAGCACTCCATCACTCTCCTTCTTGGTCAAATAGCCCTTACACAGCCTGGAGGTGTGATGGGTCATTGTCCTGTTGAAAAACAAATGATAGTCCCACTATGTGCAAACCAGATGGGATGGCGTATCGCTGCAGAATGCTGTGGTAGCCATGCTGGTTAAGTGTGCCTATAATTCTAGATAAATCACTGACAGAGTCACCAGCAAAGCACCCCCACACCACCTCCTCCATGCTTCACCCCCACATCACCACACATGCGGAGATCATCCGTTCACCTACTCTGCGTCCCACAAAGACACGGCGGTAGGAGCCAAAAATCTCAAATTTGGACTCATCAGACCAAAGGACAGATTTCCACCGATCTAATGTCCATTGTTCGCGTTTCTTGGCCCAAGCAAGTCTCTTCTGATTATTTGTGTCCTTTTAGTAGAGGTTTCTTTGCAGCAATTCGACCATGAAGGCCTGATTCACGCAGTCTCCTCTGAACAGTTGATGTTGAGATGTCTGTTACTTGAACTCTGTGAAGCATTTTCTGAGGCTGGCAACTCTAATGAATGTATCCTCTGCAGCAGAGGTAACTCTGGGTCTTCCTTTCCTATGGCGGTCCTCATGAGAGCCAGTTTCATCATAGCGCTTGATGTTTTTTGCGACTGCACTCGAAGAAACTTTCAAAGTTCTTGAAATTTTCCGGATTGACTGACCTTCATGACTTAAAGTAATGATGGACTGTAATTTCTCTTTGCTTATTTGAGGTGTTCTTGCCATAATATGGACTTGGTCTTTTACCAAATAGGGCTATCTTCTGTATACCGCCCCTACCTTGTCACAACACAACTGATTGGCTCAAATGCATTAAGAAGGAAAGAAATTCCACAAATTAACTTTTACAAGTCACACGTGTTAATTGAAATGCATTCCAGGTGAGTGAAGGAAAAGCAGTAACAAGTGCTCAGCATATGTGGGAACTCCAAGACTGTTGGAAAAGCATTCCAGGTGAAGCTGGTTGAGAGAATGTGCAAAGCTGTCATCCAGGCACTCTTGGCAAAGGGTGGCTACTTTGAAGAATCTAAAATCAATTTTGATTTGTTTAACACTTTTTTGGTTACTACATGATTCCATGTGTTCATAGGTTTGATGTCTACACTATTATTCTACAATGTAGAAAATAGTTTTTAAAAATAAAGACAAACCCTTGAATGAGTAGGTGTCTCAACTTTTGACTGGTACTGTATAGTGTATGTTATTCTATTATTTTGAAAATAATTTGTATTAGTCTTATGTTTCATAGGACCTGCATGAACAAATTAATAATGTATTTTTGTCCAGCCAGCTTATATAATTACCAGAACATAGGCTATCTGACAATGTTTTGAGTAGCCAACTTTTTATTCACCATAACAGGAAAATACAAGGTAATTATTTACAAGTAGGCTATGGCAAGCTGCTAACTTACTGTTGTGAATGTGAAGAAAGGAAAGTAGTGGAAGGTCTGAATTTAAAAGGAGGAATTTAGAACATGCAGCTGTCAGGTTACCATGACAACGGTCGAAACAACAGGGTCCTTTTAAAATTGAATGTCTCTTCCTCCTTCCTGGCAAAAACTATGACTATATAAAAGGCAAATGCCGACAAGAAAGAGATAAAAAAAAATAGGGCTGTTTGATAGAAACATTGCCCAATTGTTTTTACAGGCAACATATAGTGAAAGCAGTATGAGTGACTCACAAGGCTCCGGTCTCTTGTAGACAAACACCAGGTGACTGGGGACGAACAGTAAGATTCATAATGAAAAATGCGACAGGTGAAATGAACGCGATCTTCTTTATCTCCTAACATATTGCACAGGTTGACTGCAGATATTTACTTAAAAAGTATCTACAAATATTGACATTTATAATTTTAAAAAACATAAAATAAATGGTTTTGACGGCATTGAAAAACCTTTCCATTGCTATTTCAAAATACCCCGGTATACGGTATGCCACCCAAGCCTACTAATTACCTGTAATTATGATCTCCCTAACCACCCCGGACCTGTGATGACTACTGGAGTGAATCCAGACACTGCAAAAGCCTGTGGAACCGTTTCCATAACTACTATACCATTGGCACATCCCCCTACTGCAGGCAATGGAAGGAAGACTACTACACATGTCCAGAGTGGGGAAATAACTCAAGTCCAGAGACCAAGGTACAGTTGAGCACTCAATCATCACTTTTTCTGCTAGGGGGAAACGGCCTAAGCAGCACAGCAACCAGCAATCGTGTATTTACAGGGCAAATGCCATCAACTTCCAGAAATATTGGCGTTTGCTTATGAACAGGAAGGCTACATGTGTAATATATCTAAATTGTGAAAGATCTCTCTTGCACTGTCCCCTAACCAACTCTGTCTGTCCTCTCTCTCTTGTCCTCCCCCTACCCCAGGAGTAATTACAGCATAGTGAGAGGAACCGGATGGCAGAGCAGAGAAAGTTCACCCCTGTGTGGGACCTGAGACGAGATCCACCCAGAGACTGGCACATGCCACTGCACCAGGGGACGCCCCAGGACTCCCAGTCCTAATCATCCCCAGAATTAACACTGCCATGGCCCTAAACATGGCCAAACCAACCTCAATGTAGCATCTAAGATCTGTTTAGCTACGTAAACTAAATCACAGTAGAGTTGTGGCTAGTAAACCATGGCCCTGGGGCTTATTCAGACTAATCTATTGACATTGCAGCTAGAATTTTTATGTATATAGCTGGTAAAAGTCGTAATTGTTCATGACAATGTCTGTTCTACACAATTTATTACATCTGAATGTTCTGTAACTTTGCTGAATATGCCCCCTGCAGAGGGTGTGAAGGCTTTTTGTTTTAAACACTATTGGTTCAGTTGGCTGGGGAAAAGCCTGCTCTCCAGGACCACTCTGTCATAAATGGTTTCTTTCCAGAGGTGTCCAATGTAATTCAATGGTATTAGGACAGTGTACCTCTACTGCTAGAAAGTCACAACGTTCTACATCGAGATCAATAACAAGTGTGTGTCTGTATACTGAGCAATAATATCCACTCACCGGACAGTTTATTAGGACCCCCCTTTGCCTCCAGAACAGCCTGAATTCTTTGGGGCATTCTACAAGGTGTCTGAAACGTTCCACAGGGATGTTGGTCCATGCTGACACGATGGCATCACGCAGTTGCTGCACATTCCAGCTCATCCCAAAGATGCTCTATTGGGGACTGCGCAGGCCACTCAAGTAAACTGAACTCGCTGTCATGTTCACATTTACATTTAAGTCATTTAGCAGGCGATGTTTTCCACTGCTCAATTTAAGTGTTGGTAACCGCGTGCCAACTGGAGCCGCTTCTTGTTTTTAGCTGATAGGAGTGGAACCCGGTGTGGTTGTCTGATACAATAGCCCATCCGTGACAAGGATCGACGAGTTGTGTGTTCTGAGATGCCGTTCTGCATACTACTGTTGCACTGCGCCGTTATGTCAGTTTGTGGACCGCCTGTTAGCTTGCACGATTCTTGCTGTCTTCTTCGACCTCTCTCATTAACGAGCTGTTTTTGCCCACAGGACTGCCGCTGACTGTATGTTTTTTGTTTATCGCACCATTCTCGGTAAACCCAAGACACTGTCGTGAGTGAAAAGCACAGTAGCACGCCTGGCACCGACAATCATACCACGCTCAAAGTCGCTTAGATCACTTGTTTGCCCATTCTAACGTTCAATCGAACAGTAACTGAATGCCTCGATGCCTGCTTTATACAACAAGCCACAGCCAGGTGACTCACTGTCTGTAGGACCGATCCATTTTCATGAACGGGGTGGTGTACCTAAAAAACTGGCCAGTGAGTGTATTTTGGTGAACAGCTAAAAGAGTTACTATATTGGCAAAAGGGTAAGAGCGCCATACCATACAGTATTCTGGCCCGCACCAGTGGTCTGACTTTTTTGTAATACTGTCTCGGCATTGTGTGGAAGGAGACTCAAATGAGCGCCTGTATGTTTCTCTACCTATTGAAATGGAGGCCAGTGTTTCTGTAACACCATTACCCGGGCTCTTTGCCTTTATTATTTCACAGGATACCTCATCTACAGTGTATATACATTAAAATGCTTATCAACCCTCTGGTATGTTTTACTTACAGGTTGTATTTAAACCTATTATGTTTATGAATGTAACAATACAGCAGAATGTGAATCACTTCATGAGTGTGAATTGAAACTCATGTATCCATGATAGGGCAGTAGTCAATACGATGAATATGTCAGGGTCATGGTCCTCTGGTCGGTAAGCGGTTGAATTACCCTTACACTTTGAATGAGACATCCATCCACTATTGGTGGCCGGGACGTTGTTCTGAGCAAGCTTTCATGTCTGATCTATTTTCATTAACATGCTCGTCAAATATGTAGTCTGTCCAAATCATGTAAAGACAAGGGGATGTAATAACCATGTAAACACATGTTACGCCCACAATGTTAATACTGCCACCCTCTCACTGGGTGTAGACTTTGGTGATGTTGTTGTATTTGCCTTCAGGTGCCTCATACTGGGCCTTGGGCGGTGTGTAGCTGGGTCCCTGGTGGGTGAAGGGGAAGAGCAGGGGGTCTGGCCTCAGTGCTGCATGGTAGAGCTCCTCTGACTCCAGCCTCAGCTCCTCCAGAGCCTCCGTCTGGGCTTCCACAGCCAGGCCTACTGCCTCCATCTCTGCCCGGTGCTGGGTCTGCTCGTAGAGGGACAGGTCAGAAAGAAGTCAATGTGGCACATAAACTGGGTATATCAAAATGTCTACAAAGAAGGTACTGTTAATGTCTGCTCACTGTTTACTACTTCCAAATACGGCTGTAGTGATATGAGTTTAAACCAACATTGGCTTACAAGATCACATTTACCTGTTTGTAGCGGGACCACTCCTTCAGTAGTAGAGCCCGACGTTCACTCTCCTCAAAGGGAAGCTGAGGAGCACCACGTACCCTAGGGAAAATTAACAAATAGAGTAGGGACCTGTTCAGGTGTACATTGGGACAGAGAAATGCATTTGGGGATTGCACTAATAGTGTGTCACTCAACATACCAATATGTTAAGCACAGCATCATATATATTGACAGTATGCTCAATTTCATTCCATTAGCTGATTTAGTCCTGAGGTATGGTGTGTTTCTATGACTATTGCTGGATATCACTATGGTAAGTAGGGTTCAAACTAAGCCACTATTGACTGTTGGGGGTGAAGCAACAGTGAATATTCAAAGTTTATGGAGGTGCCCACTTCAATACTATGGTGGGCAGACCCTACTAACTCATGGTGGTGCCCAAATTCTGTATGGGAATGTCAGCCACTCCATTAATTCAAACACTAAAGGTGCCATACCTGGTCTCGTCCATGCATTTGGCTGGGGTTGTGAAGTCTTCTATGGGAATGAGCTCAGGAGGAACTCTCTCCAGCTTCTTCAATTTCTTCTTCAGTCTCTCTCTCACCATTTGCTCTCTACGAGGGTCCACTTTCTTCTTCTTCTTGGGCTCCGCTCTGTTAGAGCACATACAGGCAGAATGAGTGAGAGTTTTGCTTGTAGTACATTTATAACAAATGGTGCCTATAGCAAACTGCAAAGAGAGTGAAAGTGCACCAGAGAACAAACCCTTTATAGACAAAAGGATCTTCAACTTACCTTAGTGGCGCAGATGTCTTCAATGTGAGTACGGATGCAAACCAAGGACCTTGTCTGACATGACCATCCACTCCCATCAAAGAGCTGTGCAGTACAACATACATAAGGGCGGCAGGTAGCTTAGTGGTTAAGAGCGTTGTGCCAGTAACCGAAAGGTCGCTGGTTCTAATCCCCGAGCCGACTAGGTGAAAAATCTGTCGATGTGCCCTTGAGCAAGGCACTTAACCCTAATTGCTCCTGTAAGTCGCTCTGGATAAGAGCGTCTGCTAAATGACCAATTATTAATGATTAATTATTAATTATTATTATTATTATTATATTATTATAATTATTATACCAAGGGGAGAACTACCAGTTAGCTCAATCTAGCCACTGTAACGGATCAAATCAAGCTTTTTACAGCACATTTCAGACATGGAATGCAATGCAGTGTGCTTTACAGGAAAGAACAAAAAAAACAATGAAAATAAAAGCTGAAATATTTACTACACAACAAACAAGATTTTTAAAAAAATAATAATGACAAACTGAACAACTAAAAAGCACCCTGATGAAAAGCAAAGCAAAAAATATGTGTTTTAAGATCTCTTTTATGTCTACATTTTCAGGCCCCCTCAGGTTCTCAGGCAGTCTATTCCAGAGGCTGAGGGCATAATAACTAAAGGCTGCCTGTCTCTTGGTCCTAGGCTTTGGGATAGTTAAAAGGACAGTGCCAGAGGACCTGAGGGACCTACTGGGTACATAACTTAAAATCATGTCTGACGTATTAGGGTGCACAATCGTGGAATGATTTTTAAAAAACAATAGAAGAATCTTAAAATGAATTATAAAACTCACAGGCAGCCAGTGCAGAGACCTTAAAACCGGTGTAATGTGTGCTCTCTGTCTGGTCTTGGTCAGTACCCGTGTATGTTTTGCAGTTGACCAATGGCTTTCTTGTGTAGACCAGCCAGGAGAGCATTACAGTAGTCAAGCCTTCTTGTAATAAAAGCATGGATGAGTCTCCTGTATCAGCCTGAGAGAGAAACGGCCACACCGTGGCAATGTTCCTCAGGTGATAAAAAGCTATTTTGGTCACATTCCTAATGTGTGATTCGAAATTTAGATCAGAATCTAAAATAACACCTAGGTTTTGTACCTGGTGTTTAATATTTATTGCCCATGAATTAAAATGTGCAGCTAGATTTTCTCTCTGTGCTTTGGCTCCAACAATAAGTACCTCGGTCTTGTATTGATTTAGCTGGAGGAAGTTGTGAGCCATCCAAGTATTGAAATCACTAATACAGTCTAATAATTTATCAGTGGAGTTAAAATCCTCTGGTGACACCGAAATGTAAAGCTGTGTATTGTCTGCGTAGTAGTGAAAATCAATGCTGTGCTTTCTGATAAAGCTGCCAATAGGTAACATATATAAACTGAACAGTAGCGGACCCAAAATCGAACCTTGTGGAATGCCACTGCAGTGAATAGATAACGTAGTTAGCTAACCTGCTCAGGTTTTAGCATACTGCTGTATGAGAAAATCATGCATCAACCACCACATGAAGAGAGAATAAAACATGTTAAACTGCTGTAGCTAACGTTAGCTAGCTCGCCTATGCTAACCAGCATTGCATGTGACAACTCACCTAACGTTAGTTGGCGCTGCAGTCTGTCGGGACAATACCCTACACAGGGCACGCGATACAGCCAGGGACATGATCGATATATATATATTCAATAAAATCAGACAAAAGTTATTCACATGTATCAACACATTTTATCATTGCTGTCCCCTTGACAGCCGCAGGACCGAGTGCAGCTTGAAACAGACGTAAATTTAGCTCGAGCTTCACATGGACACTTTCGATCCCGTTGTTCGCGCTCGCCTCGTTCATTTTACGTTGCAACCTGGTCTCGGAGCATGTCGTATTCTGTACGTAAACGAAAGATACTTAATTTGGCTGATATGTTACGTTTAGTCTGGTTACATAAGACCGATGGTTACGTAGGTGGTTGGTCGGGGTGGATGCGTGGGCGTATAACGTGAACGTCTAGCAACACAGATAACTTTTGCATTTTTGCTAATCAGCAACTTTTACACTACTTACTACTTTTGAGCTACTTTGGAACTACTTAGCATGTTAGCTAACCCTTCACCTAACCCTAACCTTAACCCTTTTAGCTAACCCTTCCCCTAACCCTAACCTTAACCCTTTAACCTAACTCTTAAACTTAACCCCAACCCTAAACTCTAGCCACCTTGCTAGAACTCGGAACATGTCATACGTTTTGCAAATTCGTAACATATTGTACAATATTGCAAATTTGTAACTTATTGTACGTTTAGCAAATTCGTAACATATTGTACGTTTTGAAAAACTGTAAAATATTGTACATTTGCAAATTCGTAATATATCATACAAAATAGGTGATGGACATCCACAAATTAATACATACCATACAAAAGTAACATATCATTCTAAATGGAGAGTCCTGGATTTACATAAAGAATCATACGAAATGCTCTGAGACCAGGTTGCACATTGCACTGGTTACATCAGAGATACAATTTGTTAATAACATTAGACAAGTTTTCAAATAGACATAGCTACATAACTGAATAAATATTGTACAAGTAACCATTTAACATTTCCTTACAGTACCCTGTGAGCACGTATTGAAAAATGTTGATCAGAGTTATTTTGTCGAATGTTGTTATCTCAATGATTAGATACACATTATTTAGGCAAAAGGTCAAATGTCCACTAGTTACCACAGCCTCAAAGTCAAAATCGGCTATATCGTTAAAAAAAATCATGAAAACAAAAATGTGTTTTTTTGTCTTAATTTAAGGTTAGGGTTAGTCAAACGGTTAGCAGTGTGGTTAAGGTTAGGTTTTAAATCACCATTTAAGAAGATACATTTTAGAAATGGGCGGGGTTTATTACTTTGTGGCTGTGGCAAATAGTGACGACCCAATATTGCCAGAGTTTGTTATAAAAGCCCCTTAAGTTGACACCGCGTTCAAATAGATACACTGACCTTCGTGGACGTAAGGAGGAATCAACATTATGTCACTGCTCAGAAGTAAGTAATACTATGTTATTATGCATAAACCACGCGCCACGAAATGCATGCTTTAGTTTTCTGCCAACATGTTTTTATTGCTCTGGAAAGGTGTCTGCGTAGTAACGTTGATAGAATGTCTGTCTGCGAAATAATAACTAGCAGCTCCAGACAGTCGATAAAGTTCAAACCATTGTTCATGGCTAGTTGCTCACTACTGAGTATAGCCTACAGTTGTGAATTTAAACATTGTGTTCCCCTTTAGAATTGTCACCGTTTATCCTCCCCAGCTGTGATCATTATTATTATGAATGAATGAATGACAGCTGTCAGTCTGTCTCTACATGTAAACGAATGTTTTTGTTGTCAAGTGTCTGCCCTCCACATATTCAACAACTGACAGTTGCCTCTGTATCGTTGCATTTCTAAAGGCTAGGTGAGTTGGAAATGAATGTAGGGTAAAGGTTACAGTGGCACTACTCATAGTTGCATGAGAATTGCAATGACACTGTAGTGGAGTTTTATGATAGGACTCTATCAAACAGCCTTTTTTCAAGTCCAATATTTTTATTGTTTTGTCACTCAGACCATGTCAACAACTGAAAGCTGCAGTAAAGCTGGATTAGTCATCTCACACCCAGACTCCTCTTTCTCTCCATCCAGATGTGTTTATTGTGTCTGCTAAGCGGACCCCGTTTGGCACCTACGGTGGGGTGCTGAAGGACCACAGTGCAACAGACCTAGCAGAGCATGCCTCCAAGGCTGCCCTCGCTGCTGGGGGAGTGGCACCTGAGCTTGTCAACAGTGTCATCTTTGGAAATGTCATGCAGGTGGGTCTAAAACTTCAAAGAGCAAGCAGAGGCAAGGATAAACTCTAGGAGGGAAATGTGTGAGCAGACATATGGCTGATTCTCTTTCTTTCTCTCCAGAGCTCTGCAGATGCTCCATACATCGCCCGTCACGTGGGCCTGAGGTGTGGGGTGCCCATTCCAGTGCCTGCTCTCACCGTGAACCGCCTCTGTGGGTCCGGCTTTCAGTCCATTATCAATGGATATCAGGTACATTAGACATACTTTAGACACTGAAACTCTACATAGTCTATACTGTTACTCACCACTGAGCATTTTTTAAAGTATCTCTGTCTGAACTGGACTCGTGCCCACTGTACAGTAGAAAAATAAATCATTATTAACATGCAAAGTTTTGAGTCACAGAGACCTCAGTAAAGTCCTTTTTGCTGCAGTGTCACATACACTTTTGTTGTTTGAGGGTTTGTAGGTCAATTGTAGGTGCATGGTTTCTGCCTCTGCTGATCGCTTAGGAACATTAGCAGCCTTGTGCGTTTGTCCCCTTTAAGACCCTGTGTGTGTCTGTCTCTGTAGGAAATCTGTCTGAAGGATTCAGAGGTGGTACTGTGTGGAGGCTCGGAGAGCATGAGCCAGGCGCCGTATGCTGTCCGCAACGTCCGCTTCGGAACCAAGTTCGGACTCGACCTCAAGGTATTGAATTAATAAATGAGGAGAGGTAAGTACAAAATCTGTATAGTTTGTCATTTTTGACCGCAAGAGCCCGTTAACAGCTACTCTAAACCAATGCCAAGGACTAAGCTAACGTGTTCTGTCTTCTTTGACTTAGCTAGAGGACACTCTGTGGGCGGGGCTTACTGACCTGCACATTAAGATCCCAATGGGCATCACAGCAGAGAACCTGGCAGTGAAATATGAGATCAGCAGAGACGACTGTGACAAATACGCACACCAGACACAGCAGAGGTGGAAGGCAGGTCAGAGGTCAACACTTACCATAACTACGTTCACATGTTTACGATCCTTACTTAAGGCATGCAGACTCTGTCCTGATTTAATAAGGAATTCCAGATGATCTGTCCTCAGAAAACCAGAAATACAGTTGAAGTTTACATACACCTAGCCAAATACATTTAAACTCTGTTTTTCACAATTCCTGACATTTAATCCTAGTAAAAAATTCCCTGTCTTAGGTCAGTTAGGATCACCACTTTATTTTAAGAATGCGAAATGTCAGAATAATTGTAGAGAAAATGATTTATTTCAGCTTTTATTTCTTTCATCACATTCCCAGTGGGTCAGAAGTTTACATACACTCAATTAGTATTTGGTAGCATTGCCTTTAAATTGTGTAACTTGGGTCAAACGTTTCGGGTAGCTTTCCACAAGCATCCCACAATTAGTTGGGTGAATTTTGGCCCATTCCTCCTAACAGAGCTGGTGTAACTGAGTCAGGTTTGTAGGCCTCCTTGATCGCACACGCTTTTTCAGTTCTGCCCACACATTTTCTATAGGATTGAGGTCAAGGCTTTGTGATGGTCACTCCAATTCCTTGACTTTGTTGTCCTTAAGCCATTTTGCCACAACTTTGGAAGTATGCTTGGGGTCATTGTCCATTTGGAAGACCCATTTGCAACCAAGCTTTAACTTCCTGACTGATGTCTTGAGATGTTGCTTCAATATATCCACATAATTTTCCTTCCTCATGATGCCATCTATTTTGTGAAGTGCACCAGTCCCTCCTGCAGCAAAGCACCCCAACAGCATGATGCTGCCACCCCCGTGCTTCATGGTTGGAATGGTGTTCTTCTTTTTCCTCCAAACATAACGATGGTCATTATGGCCAAACAGTTCTATTTTTGTTTCATCCGACCAGAGGACATTTCTCCAAAAAGTACGATCTTTGTCCCGATGTGCAGTTGCAAACCGCAGTCTGGCTTTTTTATGGTGGTTTTGGAGCAGTGGCTTCTTCCTTGCTGAGTGGCCTTTCAGGTTATGTCGATATAGGACGCATTTTACTGTGGATATAGATACTTTTGTACCTGTTTCCTCCAGCATCTTCACAAGGTCCTTTACTGTTGTTCTGGGATTGATTTGCACTTTTCGCACCAAAGTACGTTCATCTCTAGGAGACAGAACGCGTCTCCTTCCTGAGCGGTATGACGGCTTGGTGTTTATACTTGCGTACTATTGTTTGTACAGATGAACGTGGTACCTTCAGGTGTTTGGAAATTGCTCCCAAGGATGAACCAGACTTGTGGAAGTCTACAATTTTTTTTGTTCTGAGTCTTGGCTGATTTTCTTTTGATTTTCCCATGATGTCAAGCAAAGAGGCACGGAGTTTGAAAGTAGGCCTTGAAATGCATCCACAGGTACACCTCCAATTGCCTCAAATGATGTCAATTAGCCTATCAGAAGCTTTTAAAGCAATGACATCATTTTCTGAAATTTTCCAAGCTGTTTAAAGGCACAGTCAACTTAGTGTATGCAAACTTCTGACCCACTGGAATTGTGATACAGTGAAATAATCTGTCTGTAAACAATTGTTGGAAAAATTACTTTTGTCATGCACAAAGTAGATGTCCTAACCGACTTGCCAAAACTATAGTTTGTTAAAAAGACATTTGTGGAGTGGTTGAATAACAAGTTTGAATGACTCCAACCTAGTGTATGTAAACTTTCCGACTTCAACTGTACATCTGCAACTTGTCATGACAATGAACTGTTTTTCCAGATTTCTATCTGAACGCTGACCACATCCCTGACTTTGTCTGTGTGCTCTCTTAACCTTAGCCCACGAGGCGGGCCACTACACGGCAGAGATCGCGCCCATCGAAGTGAAGGCAAAGAAGGGCAAAGTACCCATGACCCAGGACGAGCACCCTCGGCCCCAGACCACCCTGGAGCAGATGGCTAGGCTACCCCCTGTCTTCAAGAAGGGAGGAACGGTGACCGCCGCCAACGCATCAGTGAGTACTAAACAAGACTGATACAATCTGGGTCCAAGCCCTTTCATCCAATTCCTACCAACTCTTGCCAACAGAGTATCACATTCAGTCTATCCCCAAGCACACTGGTTGTAAATGGAGTGCAGATCATTTTGGTGTGCTGTATTGTGCTAAGCGTAAATCCTGTGTGCTAGTTTTGAATGTACTATTCTTCATGTTATTTTCCTATTCCACAGGGTGTGTCTGACGGAGCTGCTGCCGTGGTGATAGCCAGTGAGGAAGCTGTGAAGGAGCACAAGCTCACCCCATTGGCAAGAATAGTGGCATATCACGTCTCAGGCTGTGACCCAAGCATTATGGGAATCGGTGGGTGACTGGCAACAAATGGCTCATGTACTTGATGAAAACATATACAGCCAAATATAGGCCTTTCTAGCATGGCCATCAAGTGGTTTCTGTTGGTAAGGTTCTGTCATTCTCCCCCCTCAGGCCCAGTCCCAGCCATCACTGAAGCCCTGAAGAAAGCCGGTCTCACCCTCCAAGACATGGATCTGGTGGAGGTATGCCCATCTGTTTTTCAAGTTCAATAATAGGAAGTAGGAACTGATGCAGAAAATCGTGGCTATTTGGTTGCTCTGTTTTGCTTTACTCTCTCATTCTTGTAGCGCACCCTGTAGAATTTACTTCCTCCCTTTGTCTCTCCCTCTCTTTCTCCTGCTCTGATTTCGCCTGTCCTTCTCGCTCTCTCTGTCACATTTGCTGTCTCTCAGGTGAATGAGGCATTTGCTGCTCAGTACCTGGCGGTTGCCAAGGCATTAGGTCTGGACCCAGAGAAGAGTAATGCTGATGGAGGGGCTATTGCCATCGGCCACCCCCTGGGAGCCTCTGGAGCACGCATCACTGCTCACCTGGTCCACGAGCTCAGGTAACCCCACCACACCAGTAGTCTTCTTACTACTCAGATCACTTCTTATCGCTCTGTAAATATGTAGTTGAACTAACTGTCTAATCAAATCTTTAACAATTTGTTTGTACTATGTAAGGGAACAGGCAAGAGGTTTTTAATTAACCAATAAGGCCTGAGGGGGGTGTGGTGTATATGGCCAATATACCACGGCTAAGGGCTCTTCTTAAGCATGACGCAACAGGGAGTGCCTGGATACAGCCCTTAGCGGTGGTATATTGGCCAAATACCATAAACCCCTGAGGTGCCTTATTGCTATCATAAACAGCTTACCAATGTAATTAGTCCCGTGTAGCTCAGTTGGTAGAGCATGGCGCTTGCAACGCCAGGGTTGTGGGTTCGATTCCCACGGGGGACCAGTATGAAAAGATGTATGCACTCACTAATTGTAAGTTGCTCTGGATAAATGACTAAAGTTGGTCTGCTAAATGACTAAAATGTAAATTAGAACAATAAACAAGTAGTTTTGCGTCATACCCATGGTATATTGTCTGCTATACCACAGCTTTCAGACAATCGGCATCCAGGAGCCAAACCAATAAATAACACAATTCAATGGCTGAGCAATTCATGTTATGTCACAGATGAGTGATTTTCATTTGTGTTTTTTCTCTCTCTCTCTCTCCCTCCTTAGGCGGATTGGGGGAAAGTATGCTGTGGGATCAGCCTGCATCGGTGGTGGTCAGGGTATCGCCATCATCATAGAGAACACTCACTGAGGAACCGAGCAAACCATCCACACTCAGAAGGGTACATACTATACCATCCACACTCAAAAGTGTACTTGCAATACCATCCACACTCGAAACACACACCACACCCCTACATACTCAATAGAGTAATGTAAATGTTAAAATGTAATGCCATATACACACTCGAATAAGACCTTTAGGTTGTTGTCCAATGTAGAGTTGAAACACCAGAGTGCATTCTTAGTATTGACTTGAAATGTAAGAATATCCACTTTCCAATGTAAAAAAAGAAAAGAATGTTTGATCCACGCTTCAAATTAGACGACTCCAGCATCTACACTAAAAAAAAAGACCAAGATCTCCTCATAATTACTCCAGAAAATGGCTGCTGTTTCTCTGAACACAGAAGACAAGGGTATTTGTATGTTTAGTAACACAAATGTCTGATAAACTCCCTCCTTTCTTGGATGCTTCATATTCCTGTTACCTTTTCTAAACGTTCATGTATGGCAACCATACTGTCTGTATCTGCTTAAAGAGGCCTTGTGAATCTGAAGAGCTAACTCCTGTTTTTGTAAAGGGACATACTATTTACCTCTCGCTGTAGCATATGAACAGTTGAGATGAGTGTTTGAGTTGAGGTAACCAATGTTGCTTTCTGTGGAAAGAGAGCAGTAACTGCCTCTTTTATCCAGAATTTCTCTCCTTGCCTGAATTATCACTCCTTTGCAGGGATCACCATTGCCCTAAATACTGTGTGTATATGTAAGACATGTATACGCTGTCAGGTTTCCTGTAAAGATATATATTTTTTATGATTAAAGTAAAATATCATCTCAAAGTTTGGATTCACAAATTGTCATGTGTGAGATTGTTGTTGGTGATTCTTCATGGAGTATCGTGTAGTAGTTACTAGGCCTATTTCACTGTCTGAGGCCTGAAGTCTACATACTTTTGTGTATGTGGACACTCCTTCAAATTAGTGGATTTGGCTATTTAAGTCACTACAGTTGCTGACGGGTGTATAAAATCGAGGTCAAATGCAATCTCCATAGACAAACATTGGCGGTAGAATGGCCTTACTGAAAAGCTCAGTGACTTTCAATGAGGCACCGTCATAGGATGCCACCTTTCCAACAAGTCAGTTTGTCAAATTTCTGCCCTGCTAGAGCTTCCCCGGACAACTAAGTGCTGTTATTGTGAAGTGGAAACATCTAAGAGCAACAACGGCTCAGCCGCGAAGTGGTAGGCCACACCAGCTCACAGAATGGGACCGCCGAGTGCTGTAGCGCATAAAAATTGTCTGTCCTTGGTCGCAACACTCCCTACCGAGTTCCAAACTACCTCTGGACGCAACGTCAGCACAATAACTGTTGGTAGGAAGCTTCATGAAATGGGTTTCCATGGCCGAGCAGCTGCACACAAGCCTAAGATCACCATGTGCAATGCCAAGCGTCAGCTGAAGTGGTGTAAAGCTTGCCGCCATTCGACTCTGGAGCAGTGGAAACGCGTTCTCTGGAGTAATGAATCACGCTTCACCATCTGGCAGTCCAACGGACGAATCTGGGTTTGGCGGATGCCAAGAGAAGGCTACCTGGTCCATACAGAAATGGTTTGCATAGTGTCAGCTGTAAATTTGGTGGAGGAGGAATAATGGTCTGGGGTTGTTTTTCATGGTTCGGGCTAGGCCCCTTAGTTCCAGTGAAGGGAAATATTAACGCTACAGCACACAATGACATTCTAGACGATTCTGTACTTCCAACTTTGTGGCAATCAATCAAATGTATTTATAAAGCCATTTTTACATCAGCAGGCATCACAAAGTGCTATACAGAAACCCAGCCTAAAACCCCAAACAGCAAGCAATGCAGATGTAGAAGCATGGTGGCTTGGAAAAACTCCCTAGAAAGGTAGAAACCTAGAGAGGAACCAGGCTCTGAGGGGTGGCCAGTCCCCTTCTGGCTGTGCCGGGTGGAGATTATAACAGTACATGGCCATTAAGGCCAGATTTTTCTCCAAGATGTTAAAACGTTCATAGATGACCAGCAGGGTCAAACAGTGGTTGCAACAGGTCAGTACATCAGGAGTAAATGTCACTTGGCTTTTCATAGCTGGGCATTTAGAGGTTGAAATAGCAGAGTTGAAACTGGTGCAGCAGCACGACCAGGTGGACTGGGGACAGCAAGGAGTCATCAGGCCAGGTAGTCCTGAGGTATGGTCCTAGGGCTCAGGTCCGCCGGGAGGGGAGGGAAAGGGAGAGAATTAGAGGGAGCATACTTAAATTCACACAGGACACCAGATAAGACAGGAGAATAACACCAGATATAACAGACTGACCCTAGCCCCCTGGCACATAGACTATTGCAGCATAGATACTGGAGGCTGAGACGGGGGGTCGGGAGTTTGGGGAAGGCCCTTTCCTGTTTCAGCATGACAATACCCCCGTGCACAAAGTGAGGTCCATACAGAAATGGTTTGTCGAGATTGGTGTGGAAGAACTTGACTGGCCTGCACAGAGCCCTGACCTCAACCCCATCAAACACCTTTGGGATTAATTGGAACGCCGACTGCGAGCCAGGCCTAATTGCCCAACATCAGCGCCCGAATTGGTGTGGAAGAACTTGACTGGCCTGCACAGAGCCCTGACCTCAACCCCATCAAACACCTTTGGGATTAATTGGAACGCCGACTGCGAGCCAGGCCTAATTGCCCAACATCAGCGCCCGATCTCACTAATGCTCTTGTAGCTGAATGGAAGCAAGTCCCCGCAGCAATGTTCCAAGATCTAGTGGAAAGCCTTCCCATAAGAGTGGAGGCTGTTATAGCAGCAATGGGGGGACCAACTCCATATTAATGCCCATGATTTTGGAATGAGATATTTGATGAGCAGGTGTCCACATACTTTTGGTCATGTAATGTATCTCAGGATCCACATCAATATAGCAATGTGCAGTGTGTCTGCAACGAAGGTGACCTGGAACGCCACCGTAATCTTGGTCCTGGAAACTGGTCCTATGAGACTATAGAGATAAAAAATATTTTCATAGACAACTCATCATTTTTATTTATTTATTTTATTTCACCTTTATTTAACCAGGTAAGCCAGTTGAGAACAAGTTCTCATTTACAACTGCGACCTGGCCAAGATAAAGCAAAGCAGTGCGATAAAAACAACAACACAGAGTTACATATGGGGTAAAAAAACATAAAGTCAAAAAATACAACAGAAAATATATATACAGTGTGTGCAAATGTAGCAAGTTATGGAGGTAAGGCAATAAATAGGCTATAGTGCAAAATAATTACAATTAGTATTAACACTGGAATGCTAGATGTGCAAGAGATTATGTGCAAATAGAGATACTGGGGTGCAAAAGAGCAAAATAAATAACAATATAGGGATGAGGTAGTTGGGTGGGCTAATTTCAGATGGGCTGTGTACAGGTGCAGTGATCGGTAAGGTGCTCTGACAACTGATGCTTAAAGTTATTGAGGGAGATAAGAGTCTCCAGCTTCAGAGATTTTTGCAATTCGTTCCAGTCATTGGCAGCAGAGAACTGGAAGGAATGGCGGCCAAAGGAGGTGTTGGCTTTGGGAATGACCAGTGAGATATACCTGCTGGAGCGCAGACTACGGGTGGGTGCTGCTATGGTGACCAATGAGCTAAGATAAGGCGGGGATTTGCCTAGCAGTGATTTATAGATGGCCTGGAGCCAGTGGGTTTGACGACGAACATGTAGTGAGGACCAGCCAACAAGAGCGTACAGGTCACAGTGGTGGGTAGTGTATGGGGCTTTGGAGACAAAACGGATGGCACTGTGATAGACTACATCCAATTTGCTGAGTAGAGTGTTGGAGGCTATTTTGTAAATGACATCGCCGAAGTCAAGGATCGGTAGAATAGTCAGTTTTACGAGGGCATGTTTGGCAGCATGAGTGAAGGAGGCTTTGTTGCGAAATAGGAAGCCGATTCTAGATTTAACTTTGGATTGGAGATTCTTAATGTGAGTCTGGAAGGAGAGTTTACAGTCTAACCAGACACCTAGGTATTTGTAGTTGTCCACATACTCTAGGTCAGACCCGTCGAGAGTGGTGATTCTAGTCGGGTGGGCGGGTGCCAGCAGCGTTCGATTGAAGAGCATGCATTTAGTTTTACTAGTGTTTAAGAGCAGTTGGAGGCTACTGAAGGAGTGTTGTATGGCATTAAAGCTTGTTTGGAGGTTTGTTAACACAGTGTCCAATGAAGGGCCAGATGTATACAAAATGGTGTCGTCTGCGTAGAGGTGGATCTGAGAGTCACCAGCAGCAAGAGCGACATCATTGATATACACGGAGAAAAGAGTCGGCCCAAGAATTGAACCCTGTGGCACCCCATAGAGACTGCCATAGGTCCAGACAACAGGCCCTCCGATTTGACACATTGAACTCCTCATCACTTGATGATGAGTGCTGGAAATAATGTAGATTTGTCCATAAATTACAAATATGAACATTACTCATCTTATCAGACAAATACAGCATTCATGGATTTCATTTACAATGTTTATTGATTATAAATTGTTTTATTTTATTGATAAATTAGTTGTTTCTCAAAGGATTACAAGGGCCAAGATTTGTTTCCGTCGTTTACGTCAACGTCAAATGCAACGTGGTTATATACGTAACTTCCCCGGATGTCGGTCTTTTTTTCCTAGTAAAGGTAAGAATGGCTTCTCACTGCACTACTGCATAAATAAAATCGGTGTTCATCTATACAAAATGCACGAAATAATCACATCCAATATATGTGGGGTGATTGGTTATGTCCTTAAGAGTCTTTATGTTTGAATATGATTGTGTTTTATGTGTGATGACTTGTAAATAAATAGCGTTATGTTTCGTAAGCGTATGCCCACGGTCTGCTACATGATATCTCAACGCGTCGTAATTCTTGAGCAGATTTCAGATTTTGTCTAATTTATATTTACTGGCGACGGTAATTACTTTTATTAGAGAATATGACTTCCCGTGTGTAATGGCATATTGTAGAGAATTACTGAAAACGACTAAAACGTAAAGGCTAGCCGGCTTGGTTGCTAACTTAAGGTGAATGGCATGGCTAACTTAACGTTAGCTACGACTTGTCATGCCGGAATTTGACCATGCTTGCGTGTACTTCTTTCTCCAGTCATTTAAGGTGTTTTGTCAATTCTGTGAAAATAACTTAGCTATTGAAATGTCTGTTTTTATCTGCACACTTTGATTTGTGCTGTTATGTTACCAAGTTGCAGATGTGCATCCAGGTAGCTAAATGTTCATGGCATGCTAGTGGTGTAGTGGCAGACTATCACCCAGTGATGGGGCCTGCTGGTTTTGCTCAGTAATTTGAATAATTTGACCATAGTTTACAGCCAACCATTTTGGTTACCCGTTCTTGAATATCTGAAGCCACAATGTGCTTAGTTAGAAAATTAGCTAGCTAGTTTAATGTTAGCTCTCCTAACCTGTCACCCTCTGTTTCAGCACCATATTGAAAGTAGTTAACTAACCAGCATTAGTCATTCATGATCCACCAGTGATGCATGTTCAACCATGGAGTTACAACTATCCTGTAATTCAATACTATAAATATTGCTCTATTGTAGAATTATCCATGGGTTTAACCCATTCTGCTCCCCATCTCTCCCCAGATGGCAGAGGGAGACAAGAAGAAGGTGGCCAAGAAGGCTCACTGCAGCCGGAACCCTGTCCTGGCCAGGGGCATCGGTCGCTACTCCCGCTCCGCCATGTATTCCCGCAGGGCCATGTACAAGAGGAAGACCAAGACCACTGAGACCAAGGTGAGAGAGGGGAGGCACACAGACTGGGGGAAGCCGTCACTTTTGTTCTCTAGATTGGAACTGTTAGACTTGTTTGGACCCCAGGAAGAGTACATGCTGCCTTGGTAGCAGCTAATGGGGATCCCTAATAAATACAAACAGGTTCAGGGTTTATTAAAAACTAGATGATGGTTAATGTCGTATAATTTATTTGTGTAGTGTACTGAAAGCTTCAACATGTGATGTCGGTGACTGCTTGTTTTAGATTGAGAAGAAGCTGAAGGTCAAGACCCCATCCACCATCACCAAGACTGTCGGCGGTGACAAAAATGGAGGCACTCGTGTTGTCAAGATGCGCAAGATGGTGAGTCTTTCGCTCAGACTCAAACATTGTTTCCCAAATTGTGGTTGGCATAAAGTTTCTCATGGATCGTTGTAACCATCGCTGGATTTTATAGCTCACAACCACATTCAGCAGATGAAGATGCCGGTGTGAGACACAGCTTTTATCTGTTGTATACATAAAAATGCTGATTTTTACTTTTCATTAGTTCGATATACTACATACAGTAAGGTCTGGTAGTGAGATGTGGCGTTCAATAATTATACACTTGTGAAGTCGTGTGTTTGATCCCTTGACTCATGTTTGCCCAAAGCCCCGTTACTACCCCACAGAGGATGTGGCCCGTAAACTGAAGAACCATGGGAAGAAGCCCTTCAGCCAGCACAAGAGGAACCTGCGTGCCACCATCACCCCAGGAACCGTGCTTGTACTGCTCACTGGACGCCACCGCGGAAAGGTGAGATCGCATGCATTAATACTCATGCATGCGCACACACTCATGTGTAATGGAGTTGGATCATACCATAACCTCACTCCAGCCACACCACCTTAAACTGTCCTTGTCCTGATAACTGGATGCCAGTGCAGGAAGGTGAGGACCCTCATGGCCACACATGACACTGCTCTCAATCATAAATATCTATTGCTTTCACACGCTCAGGCTTACTCGCTGTATAATTATTTTGCAACCTATAATATTGCAGAGATTGTGTGCTGTGCATATGAATTTAAACACCCTTGATGCACTGCAGCCATTTTTTGCCCTACATGTGATAAGCTGCCTGATACTCCCACACTGACAAATCAGTTCACCTCTTGCCCACACATAGAAACACACACATATACAAGCCTCACACAGGCATACTGCTGGCATACTACAGTAGTTCCCACACACAGGACTGCGCCCACACACTGAATTCACCCAGCAGGTCCTGCTGCTATGGTGTCAGCTTTGAAGTGCGGCTCAATTGCCAGAGGACACTTGCAGCATTGTATTGGGAGCACATAAATGTGTAAAGTGGAAGATTTCATTAAACTCAAGTTGATGAACAGATTGTTTAAAGATTTATGTAATGCGTTTCCCTATACATTTAAATTGGCATTGGCCTAGTACAATTGTTTGTACTATTTTTGTTTTGTTACTGTAACAAAGTCGAGGGTGATAAATGGATCAGCTCTATATTCTAATAGAAAGGTTTGATGGTTTCAGCTGTGGCACTATTCCTTTACCCCTTGGTTTTACCAGTAAGAAAGAATCCGGTGTGTTTGCGCTAGGCTGGAACTAAAGCCTGTATATCCTGTAGTTTCAGGATCAGGGTTGGTGATCACTACTGTAGCATGTACATGTGGTAGATGTCCTGTGCAATCCAGTGACTGGCTCTTCTCTCTCTCCCTTCAGCGTGTTGTGTTCCTGAAGCAGCTCTCTAGTGGTCTTCTGCTTGTAACTGGTAAGAACAACCAGTGGTTTCTTTGAAATATTCTTGTCACGGTGAATTGGCAAAACAAGTGTTGCATAAAGTAGTTAATTTCAGAATGTCCAGTGAGATTTTATTTCACATTCATGTCTGTGCAGCTGCAGTACCTCATCAGGTATCCATCCTACCTTGATGTGATGTTTTGAAAAGTATGCTCTTCTTGCCATTTCAGTTGTAACTCAATCCCCCTCTTGCTCTCTCCATCCTCTAGGTCCCCTGGCCCTGAATCGTGTCCCCCTTCGCAGGGCACACCAAAAGTTTGTCATCGCTACAGCAACCAAGGTCGACATCTCTGGCATGAAGATCCCCAAGACTCTGTCAGACGCCTACTTCAAGAAGAAGAGACTGAGGAGACCCCGCCACCAGGAGGGAGAGATCTTTGACACAGAGAAAGAGGTAAATCCCACACTACTAGACATACACAACCTATACACACTTGCAAACCCTTCTGGGATTTACAGACTAGTGGGAGGGAGTAGTAGTAGTGGTGAGGGGTGACTTGAGTTGTCATTGGACTGGTAGCGTACAAGCAGTGTGCACATACTAAATCGGGGTAGGCAACTAGATTCAGATGCGGGCCGATTTGTCAGAGCGGATGGTCGACGGGTCGTAACATAGTGATAATAATTTGTACACTGCAAATTGACCACAACTAAGCCCAAAAAGGAGATTGTATTTGAAAATAACAATTTCATACCTTGATTACATTGAGACAGTCACATTTGTTTATTAAAAAAAATGGTATTTGTGGGAATACTTGGTGAACAGATTTCCTAAATATAACACATTTTTAGCTTGGTTCCTGGTGATTTTAGTATTTTTACATGCGAACTGGTTTTGGCCTGCGGACCGCCTGTTGCCGACCCCTGTACTAGATGCACAACACATGTATAAATCCTAATCCCTCATTCCTTAGAATGTTATTTGGAGAATGCAGTCAGTTTATACTGACTGCTCAAATATTTCACTTGGGAGGGGGTCTTTTGTTCAATAAATGGATGACTACTCTTTCCTCTTTGGTTGTGGCAAAAAAAAACTAGGTTGTGACTAGAACATGCTTTTCATTGGTAGGCAACAACCTAAAGTCTATCTCTTACCTCTCTCTCTTCTCTTCCCCCGCTACAGAAGTACCAGTTGACAGAGCAGAGGAAAGAGGACCAGAAGACTGTAGACTCTCAGCTGCTGCCCCTCATTAAGAAGGTTCCCCAGCTGAAGGGCTACCTGCGCTCCTCTTTCTGCCTCTCCAACGGGGTCTACCCTCACAAACTGGTTTTCTAAATGTTTTAATAAAGAGTACCACCACAGTCCTATCCCACCCTCTGGCTGTATGTGATTGTGTATTGATGGGCTATTGTTGGAAGTTTTGAGGCAGGATTTGAAATGTTCTGAATCTTTTGGCGGTGTCCTGGTAGAGCCCAGCAGCACCCCTGTAATTCAAAACTCTCAATGGGGTTCTGTGGCAGGCTGGGCTGTCACCAAGGCATTCAGGAAGCATCAGGTGTTTGGTTGCTGCCATTGAAGTCTGTTGTATTACCTACCTAACCCTGGATTATGTTTGCCAAATATCAGTTTCCAGTTGGTTCTCATCCACCCCTACACTACGTCTTCACTGATATAGATTAAAGAGCTTTTAGCCATTTGTCGCTAAAATATTTACAATGGAACAGTTTGACTACATACATTGTGTAACCTCCCATAGGAGGATCTCTAGCTCAGTTGGTAAGAGCATGGCGCTTGCAACGCCAGGGTTGTGGGTTCGTTCCCCACGGGGGGCCAGTATGAAAATGTATGCACTCACTAACTGTAAATCGCTCTGGATAAGAGCGTCTGCTAAATTACTAAAATGTAAGTATGTTGGGACAGGTACATAATGCTAAACACTGTAAAAATAGCAACTAAGTTTCCATCTCGCTTTGGTTGTAAAAGGACAGAAGTAGTTTAGTTTGGGCCAGACCATAGAACGAGATTTGTAGGCTCTCTGGGCCAGACCTAGAAACCAGGTCCATCTTTTTCAATTGAAGTTGTCACAGCTATAAACATGTTCGCTGTTAATGATAGCTAGAACGGACTCATTGTCTTGTGGAATACTGCTGAATTAAAAATATATATATATTGGTAGCACCCATTGAAATGTAGGTGCAGCCTATATTAATTATAGCACGTGCCCTCGAAACAAGTTTAAGAGCTAAAATGTTGATACAAATACCGTCATTGAAACTTGTGGAATATTAGGTTTCTACATTGTAGGAAAAAACGGCCTATTAATACGTTACTCAAAGACGTGATGACTACATGCAAGAGATCTGTCATTCATCGCCATGATCATTGATCTCCAGAAGCCATACATTTTCCTTGCTTTCGGTGCCCCTAATATTTGGATATACTGATAGTTGACAGTGAGGTAACATGGCTGCGTGTAAACAAAATGGTTAACTCGCGAGTACTTTTAGAACTGCCTACTACTTGATGAATGTAAAATGCGGTCCCGCGGTAGGGAAATAAAAATGTTGCGCCGGTATGGGACATATCTTTTGATCTGGTGGGCTACAATCGATTCTCGCTGTTATGGTGCAACCATGACGCTATCGAGTCCTCACTCTTTCTATACTCGAAACCCGTACAGCGCAAAGCTTAACAAGTATATGGGATATTTTTTTGGTCGCCTTTAGAGCCCTGGTGGCAGATGTATGAAAATGATTTGATGGAAGAAGATTAGCCAAGAGCCCTTTACCTCTTCGTGTGACATTTACCTGAGCTAGTGTAATTTATGGTTAAATGAGTGGGATGATAATCTATTTTCACATGTAGTTTCTGGTCATCAGACAAAAAAAGGCCTGCTGCCATATACCAATTTGGATGATGGACCTTGTGACATGCTTCATAGCCAAAAAAGGAGTGTGAACATAAGTAGCTAAAATAACAAACTACTCCAACAGGTAAACCCAGAAAGCCAAACGATATCACTTTAATTAATTTTAAAAAATGACAACATCAAATCTACTGTAATAGAAAACAAAAATAAATACAAAGTGTTTAATTTCTCACATGGCCATGTATTTTTTCTTCAACAATGAACAAAATAGTAGAAAGCAGCACAGAAAAAGGCAGTCCCAGTTGACCAGGAATGATACAGCCTTTCTGTCAAGTCCGTATTTAATGGTCAGTTGATGTTGAAGGGGCTGGGGCGGCTGGCCCCTTAGCCAGACTTGAAAAGCAGGATGGCCACCTGGCCCAAGTAGAAGTAGATGAAATGCTTGGTCTCATGGGTCACGTAGCTGCCAAAGTTCCTCCCTACGATGCAATGCCAGGTGGGGTTGTACTTCTTGTCAAACTCCTGGGCGGGGCAGAGACAGGAATGCAGTGATTAACCAGACATAGCATTCATTGAGGGAACCATTAAAATAGGTAATGGTTTGGTTCCCTCCCTAAATATACTCTACAAAAATAGTGTTGGTCGGTCCAATGTATCATTAGCTGAAATAAAGATCACAGAAATGTTCCACATGCACAAAATGCTAATTTCTCAAATGTTGTACAGACATTTGTTCACAATACCTGTTAGTGAGCATTTCTCCTTTGCCAAGATAATCCATCCACCTGACAGGTGTGGCATATCAATAAGCTGATTAAACAGCATGATCATTACACAGGTGCACCTTGTGCTGGGGACAATAAAATGCCACTAAAATGTGCAGTTGTGTTACACAATACAATGCCACAGATGTCTCAAGTTGAGGCAATGTGCAATGCCCCTGCCCAGTTGTGAAATCCATAGATTAGGGCCCAATTCAGTTATTTCAATTGACCGACTTCCTTATATGAACTGTAACTCAGTAAAATCATTGAAGTGGTTGCATTTATATTTTTGTTCAGTATAGTGTTTTTTCAGCACCACTGTAGTACATTTCATACAGTTTGCCATTGATTTATAGTAAACCAGTAACTTGTCAGGCAGCTAACATTTAGTATGAAGGTCTGACTATTTTAACTGAATTTCATACCAAAGCCAGGGATAACATCCCTTTCCCCATGTATGCAATTCAACAGATCGTTTGAGCATCAAACACAAGATTTTAACAATTGTGGACAACTGATAGCAACATCATAAATCAATCCCCCGCAGCCCACAGTGTAATTTATGGTAAGAGTCACACTGACTGTTCTGCATGGGGAATAGGCAGAGAGTCATTCAGCCACAGACCTAGCGGACTAAACTCGACAGTGAAGAAAGATTGATGAACTTCATCCAGGCTTTGTGGAATCTAGCTCCGACTGTCGATTCGCCCAAGGTCAATACTTAAAAACGTAAACCTTGTACCTAAATTTGTAGAGTAAACCGTGCCTATATAAATAAAAAAAATGCTGAAACCCATACTTTTTCAATAAACATTAATCAAATACAACCACCGACTGTTAGCTCATGCTGTTGCTATAAGATAGCCACAGACCTGTTGCTATAAGATAGCAACTTAGTGCAAATGCGCTCGTTGAATCTCAACAAGGAAACAGTTCGTGGTGGTATTTCATTATAGTTTATTGAAAACGACAGCAAACAAAGGCACGCAACCACAGAGGCCAAACAGGTACACGGTGGGCGTTTAATAATTTACATTTTTATAAGTATTGACCTTGGGCAAATCGATGCATTAGGAGCTAGATTCCACAAAGCCTGGTCTCGGCACCACGCTGTTAGTGAAGTTCATCAGTGACTTCCATGGACCACAGACCATGTTAGTCATTGAACTGTCGTCTGGGTAGCTACCTTCTTGATGTATGCAGCGATGTCTTTCTCGATGTTGTACTTCTCCAGAGCCTGCGTGGCGCACTCGACTGCGTCCTGCTGCATCTCCTCCGACATGTCGGCATTTTTTATGACTGCTTTTCTGTCAGACATGGTTGCCCTAGGAGCCCAAAACACATCACCGTATTAATGGCATGGGAGGATCAACTTGGGCTCACCCTGCATTTAACCGTACTCACTTCTTCTAGAAAGAGCTTGGCATATTAAGACTCATCATCCACTAGTAGCTAAAGCAGCATCTTCAGATCAGAGCTTAACACAGCAAGCAGCACTTGTCTTGCTGCCGTGCAAATACCAATTACATAATAATGGGTACATGGCATCCCGGGGAACTATTATTTTATCTACGTTGCGTAACAATTTCCATCACCGCTACTGCGCAGTTTCTATGGATACGTTTCTAAAGTTAATTGCCTAGCTAACTAGAATCCTTATCTTCTCCAAAGAACGTTAGTGAAATTTTCCACATGATCACTCAGGAAAAAAAGATAACATTGACCTTTGCTTTGATAAATCTAGTTTTACAGTAGCTAGCTAACACCATTTTCCCAAATGAGTCAAGACTCAAGTTAAAATTAGCTAGCTACTGTTAACTAGCTAACGTTAACTTACAATTCAGTGCAAACAGCAATGCTTTCCTTTAAGTGTAAGACAGGTGCTAACTTATTTCGCTAACAAATACGTATGTCATGATATTAGCTAGATGTCAAAATGTAAGTTGATAGCTGTCTGACAATCTAACGTTAGCTAACTAGCGGATGAATCAACGTCAATTACCATTTTGTGCCACTCACAGACGCAAATAGCGGTTTCAACTGTAACGTTACTTATCAATTCAGATACCAAATTAATAATAGACTACCTCCTCCACTATGATCAATCAAAAGATAACGATCGATATCTCATAATAGCCAAGCTAAGTTTTACCTAAATATCCAACGCCGGTTTTCTCCGCTATATGGACGCTTGGTTTCACAGCTACAACTCCCGCTAAGTAGAGGTTGACAAAAAGTAATGTGGGTGTGTAACTGACCTGACCCGATGGCACCTATATCCTATTGGCTACCCCGTTATGCATTCGGTGTAGTTATTGGTCAATCTCTCGCAGCTTTCGTTGGTGTTTCTCATTGCATTTTATTTCAACCCATCATGCTTTGCGGTTCCCACGCGTCGTCGGTTTCCGTGGAAACCGTTGTAAACAACAATATTATCACAGTTTCTAAACCCTACTGTACCACAGACAGAAGGGGTAATTTATACATATATTTGAGTGTACTGTCTTTGATATTAGCTTGCTGCCTGCTACGAAAAGTCCAATCTGACGTTAAATTTACAAAAGCTGGCCTTCTAGCCATGACCTACTGGGTGCTGCTGCTAACTGGCTGCTTAGCAGCACAGCTCAGACAAATCCGCAGAGGCATAGAGATTCTATTAAATGACCGTACTAAAGGGGCTATAGATGGCTTGCAGTTGACGTACGACGCCTCCAGGCGGCCATGTTGGAAGACCACCGCATTAATTCTTCTGACAACAACATCCGAGTGGCTACCCCAAACTGCATGATAACAGTGCCTAAAACTAGTTGATTCATCAGCACGGTCATTTTCTGTAGAGTATCTGGCTGCTCTAACAAGGCAGGAAAGAACGGGGGAAAAAATATGTTTACAGATTCCCCGCAACCATGAAATACCATTGGTTACACCAATGAGATAACACTCAAGAATTGTCAGAAAAGCGAAAAAACGTTTTGCCCGTCAAGACCTGAACCCAGACAGCTCTCAGTAACTGGTCTGCTACGATCATTTCATCACTGGTAAATGAAGTCTGATCGATTTCGAGTTTAATTGAGCTGCTATGCTAAGCTAGTTAGATAGCTTGTAGTCTAGCAATTAGCATGTGTCACGTGAGTTTAACATTTTGGGGAAGCTATTTATCACCATAAAAATTAACCGTTATAACAAAGGATTACATGCCTCGATCATCGCATTTGTGATGAGTAGATTGGATAGTGATCATTTAGGCTATTAACAAGCGCGTAGTGGCATAGGTTTATAGGCTATATCAGAGACGTTTCCTTTGCATGGGAAAAATGTGGCCTTTGATAAACATTTCATACAATTCTACTACACTTTATATGACTGGAGAAATTAGCAGAATATTTTTTAATACGATGGTAGCCTAGGCCTACTCTACTGACAACAGATCAATAAAAAACGACCTTGTCTTGAATGCAACCATGTAATCTAGGCCTATGAAAAAGGGGTCCTGGCTAAAAGGGATCCAGCTTTTGTCAAATTGTTCCCAAATATTTGTTATTGCATTTTAGCTAACCCTAACCCTTTTCCTAACTGTAACCTAATTCTCATAACCTGCTGCCTAAATTCTCCTAATCTGCTATGAAATGTCAAATATGACGTTAATTTGAAAAAAACTGGATCCCTTCTAGCCATGACCATGAAAAGGGGAGAAATAAATTGTAAAATATGACATCCATATAGCCTGAAGGTCACTATTGACCCAAAAAACTTCCAGTGATTATCATATATTCATATCAGTGGAGGCTCCTCGGAGGCTTACATTCAGGGCAGGATGTAAATGTAAAATGTTCTTTGTCTAAAATAAATCACTGCACAAAAATAAATCACTGCATTTGACTCACACAGCCTCAGTCACTTACATTGTCCACTGTGTGTGTGCCTCTCTGTGACATAAGCTAAACATCTAGCTGGCTAGCTCATCATGTCTCAGTCTAAACTGTACACTCAAAAATACAGAAAGGAGTGGGAATCAAACCCTGAATTCAAAGGCTGGTTGAAGCTGTTTGTTGGAGATGATACACGGGCATACTGCCTGTATTGTAAGGCTTATTTCTACGCCAAACTTAGTGATGTAAAAAAACACATGACAACATGAAAACATACTCAAAAGGCAAAGCTTTATAACAGTTCCATCCAAAACAAGCTGCCATTTATGGTTTTAAAAAAAATTGACTCTGCAAAAAAGGCTGAGGCCAACATGGCATTAGCTATCGCTGAACACTGTTCCATGCTGGCATGTGATCACATTGGAGAAGCATGTAGAGCTGCTTTCTCAGACTCCACTGCTGCTACCCACTTCAAAATGCACAGGACAAAGTGCACAGAAATGATTAATGGTGTTCTAGCACCATACTTTCTGAAAAAGTTGGTCGCAGATGTGGGTGACCAGCGTTTCAGCCTCCTCCTCGATGAGTCCACGGATGTAAGTGTTTCTAAGTACCTGGGGGTTGTGATAAGGTACTTTAGTGACACCAAGCAGACAATTGTATCAACATTTCTGGAGCTTGTTGAGTTGGAGGGAGGAGATGCCAAATCTATAGCCTGTGCTGTTGTGGCTTTCCTCGAAGTGTTGTCTTAAAAAAGAGAAACTCCTGGGGATATGGACTGACAATGCCTCTGTTATGATGGGGATTAACAATGGGGTCCATAATGTGCTGAAGGAGGAGTATGGCCTCAAATATCTGGTTCTTATTCGCTGTGTGTGCCACTCTCTGCAGCTTGCTGTAAGTCATGCTTCCAATGACACCATCCCCCGTAGTGTGGAGTACTTGGTACGAGAGACTTATAACTGGTTTTCAGTGTCTCCAAAGCGCAGGGAGGCCTACAAGGCCATAAATGAGACCATCAACTGTGGGGAGAAACCTTTACAGATAACTAAGGTGTGTGCCACACGTTGGCTCTCCATTGAACCCGCTGTTTCACGCATTTTGGACCAGTGGGAGGAGCTTAGGCTGCATTTCACAGTCACCAAGTCCAGTGAACACTGATTCATGGCTTAGGTTTTATACTCCATGTACAGTGATCCTCAAAACAAACATTTTTTGAAGTCAGTGCTGGTTGAGGTACAGTTGGCCATCAAGCTTTTGAGGGAGAGCAAGTAGATCCTCTTAAGCTACTTGACAGCTTGGTTAGCCTGATCAAGTCTGTGAGCAGCAGGGTGCTGAATCCACTGGCAAATGTTGATGTACTCAAAGGGCCAATAGATGGATACATCGGTCCCAAACCGTACCTTGGTTACCTTTTTGAGTCAAAGGCAGCTGAGCTCCACCTTGCGCCTGAGGATGAAAACAATGTCTGAAAGCGGTGTGTAGCCTTCACCATCTCCCTCACTAATGAGTTGAGGGTGAGACTGCTGGACAACATCGAAGCATTGCAGTACATGTCCGTTTTCAATGTGGAGGAAACTCTAAAGCACAATAAGAGCCTTGGAGAAATATAAAAAATAGCCAAGCTCCTTGGCTACTCCCCTGCAGAGATAGACAAGATTGTCCAGCAATGGCGTGCCATCCATCTTAGTAAATGGAATGAGACAAAAAACACACTGGGCTTCTGGAGTGAGATTTGGAAGTTCAGGGATGCAGCTGATATCAACCAGTTTCAAGAAACTTGCCATGGCTGCTGTGTCTGTGTTGTCCTTGCCACACTTGAATGCTGAAGTCGAGAGAGGATTCAGCCAGATGAGTGTGGTAAAAAGCAAACTTAGAAATCGGATGTCCTTGCAGACCCTTAACTCCATCCTGTACATTCGATATGGACTGAAGCTGTCTGGTGAGGCTTGCTATGAGCACCAGCTGCCTGATAATGTTTTGCAGCTTTTTGGCACATCAGCTGCTTACTCGTTTAAGTCAGCTCCCTCAGTTGCTGAACCTGCCATAGAGAGCCTTGACCAAAATGACGATGACCCACTCTTTCTGTGAGCCAGCACAGCCTGTGTGTGTGGGGGTGGGGGGGTCGAAAAATAACAAACAATTAACCTGAATTAGGGCCAGACTAGTTACCATCATTTTCTCACATTGTCATTGACAGTTTTTTCTATTGTCTCTTTTTGGTCCATTTAGATTGTTAATGTAGATTGTATACAAAAAAATGGTTAAAATGTTATGGTTAAAAATTTTAAATGTTTTACTGTGACTTGTTGTAGGCTCCTAAGTGGACCATAAGGTTAAAAACCAAATCAAACTTAAGAAAAATAAAAAAAATAGTGTTAAATTGCGTCAATTCAAATCTGGTATAGGAACAAAAAGAGGTCAATACACGTCTTCTAAAATAGACTAG